AACCACTTCCCAGAAACCACTTCCCAGAAACCACTTCCCAGAAACCAGCCCCCAGAAACCACTTCCCAGAAACCACTTCCCAGAAACCAACCCCCAGAAACCACTTCCCGGAAGCCACTTCCCAGAAACCACTTCCCAGAAACCACTTCCCAGAAACCACTTCCCAGAAACCACTTGCCAGAAACAACTTCCCAGAAACCACTTCCCAGAAACCACTTCCCAGAAACCACTTCCTAGCCTCGGGAGACCATTTCACCCGCGTTCCGAAACAAGACGAATCCAGGTTCTGAAACGAGACGAATCCAGGTTCCGAAACGAGGCGTCGGCCTTAGACAAGCACAGCTCAAGATTATCTGGCACATTCGGGCAACAATCTTCCGCTTTTTTGATAGTGACTTTTAAACATCAACGGATGTTGCCAGCTGCTTGAAGCATACCCGGCATCTTTTGCTATTATATAAGTGCCAAGCTTCCATGGACCATTGACATCGCCAAGAACCGAAACTCCAGCGCTGCAAGCGTTTTCCAACAACAGACTGAGAGGCGTTCAACCCCTGTCTTTTAAACAATCTCATTGTCAGAAAGGTTCAGGTCAGCAGTGTGGACCAGTGGAACGTCTATTTGAACCTAATCACCCTGAAGCCGACCCTCACAAAATTTAACATTTAATACAAAGTGTGCTTCTCTCCGGCGTACGGTGAAGCAACAAACTTCTTCCAGTCCCTCCTGATCCAGGTTTCACTTGGTGCCTCTTTGGCACCGGCATCTAGTGCAGCCTGACCGGACAGAATGATAAATTAATATAAATTAATGCATACATGAACCCGAAAGCCGACAGTGCGTCTGGAAGAGTCCTATCCTGACTGCAGAAGTCCATGCACCCAGCTGTAGTCATGGTGCTAAACAAACGAATGATGATCATGTTGTGGGCGCGACATCAAATCTGCGAATGGTGCATGGTTGATGTCCAAAAAAAAGCTCGGAGCTCTCCTGGAGGCCCTTGGCATTGGGCACCAGCACTGGAAAAGCCAGTTTCGGGTGCTCCTCCAGGCCTCTGAGCGGGAATGTCCAGCGCGATGAACGATGTTGGCAACACGAACCAAACAGAATATGCAATGGAGAGCTGAAATGTCAACAAGCAAAGAAACAGAACAGCTAAACAGGTTCTAGAGTCTAGAACAAAACATAATGTGCTTTAACACGCCCCGTGGGACAACGAGTGGGTTGATCAAGGTTCCACAAAAGGTGAACGGTTAACCAAGAACTGAAGTTCACTAACTCCGATATCAGCAAAGGCCACACACTGGGACCTTTACCCCTGCCACGCCGCGCGGTTTTCTCACTATGTTTTTTTTTGTGTTTATCAATGTCTTTTCTTGCATGTTCTTCTCTTTCCAATACACGTGTTCATCGGTCCCTGGCTTCTATTACACCATAAATTGCATACCTCGGGCCTACCACTTCTACACTACGCTACCCACCTCGGTTGGTAGCTGTGTGGGTGGGGATGTTCACCTTCGCCAAGTGCACGCCCATTGTACAATCCATTAAACACTCTTCTACGCTACGCTGCTGACTTTGAGTGGGGTGGGGATGGGTGGAGATGTTCACGTTCGCTTCTAAGGGCACACCCATTGTATAATCCATTACTGTAGATACTCTTTCTTGCTAGGCTGTGCTATCTACTTCTTTTCATGCTTCTTGCACCCACCGTGGCACATGTTCACGTTCCTAAAAACTTGGCCAGAACATCAAGTTTCTGATGCAGCACAGGTGGGAAGATTTCTTGGACCTTGTACGCCAAATGACTTGTTGAATGAGCTTGGCTAAATTAATGGCAAAGAAGATTCGCTGAAAGAGAAGAGGAAAAGGATGAGTGCACTTATGATGACAAACAAGTAGTTTTTCTAATTATTGAGAACGTAGTGAAAACGCGCACGGCGTTACAGCGCCATTAACATTTTGCAGAATACCAAAGACAATGCTCATTTTGCGCCACGGCGCAATACCAAGTAGTCTACTCCCAAACTAGTGATGACATGATGACACAGAACATGTGTGCAACATATGGAGAGAATTGTGCCAACAAGAACATGTATATACTTGAGGCCGAGGGTAGGTGACGAAAGCTAGCAGGGGTGCATCCGGACTGGTGGGACATCAAGCGGAGTGAGGCAAATGCTCATGAGGTAAAACATTGTGAACATGTAAGACACACAAACAGCAATGACACAGCCAACCTTAGAATTGAAGTCCCCGATAATTAAGGAAGCGTGGCTGGACTTTGCCACACTGTTCGATGCATCCGATGTGTTCACGAACCTGTGAGCTTGTTGAATCTGTTGCATTGTATCCCAAAGCCTCCACGGAGGAGTTGAACCAGTGTGGATGCCATAAGAGGTGCCCAAGAGGTGTCCCAAAGGCAAAACAAAGCTGCTTGCATGATTTGTTTGGTTTCTTCTATCGATGTCGATGTCATGAACATGTGAGCTTGTTGAATCTGCCGTTGGATCGTCATGTATGTGTAATGAGGGACTGAAGAAAAGCAACGCAGCATCATGAGCATCACGGGAAGTCACAAACCAGGCGTATCAGATACACCTGGTTTATGTATGTTTGTTTGAGCATCTTTGTCGAGTGAAGTGTCAGCCATATGCACTGAGATGCCGAAGGAAGCTCAAAGGCACGTGTATCTGATACGCCTGGTTTCTGACTTCCCGTGATGCTCATCATTGAAGCCTTAAACCCTCGCGTAAATTTCATGTTTCATGCCACCCCTTCCAAACTCAAACAGTGGCCTACTTCACCTGCCACCTAAACATAGCACTATAGCACGTTCCGGAAGCGTCCCAGGGGGGAGTTGAACCCGCGGGGGGGGGGGGGGGGCCCCTACACGTGAAGTTTTCACGTGATTCATGATTCTCGAGGCTGCGAGCCCTTGACTTGCTAAAGCAAGAGCAACTCCAGCTAGCTGATGCTAGCTTTCGTGATATATAATTATATACTGCAGGGCCCAAGGACATCTTCAGGCTTGGTGCTCCCTCAGTTTACGGAATTGGGCAATTGCTAAAGTGTTCATTGGAAGGACTCCATTTTTGGGTGGTCCCCTATCGTCTTGCAAGATTACGCCGGTTGCAAATGAGACAACAAAGGTCAAACAGTTCCACAGAGGAGTGATTGTTTCAACCTGTTGGTGAGAGTGCTACCCTCTGGCCGCCCTGGCCCTCTGAGACGTCAGCAAGACTGCAATACATTAGAAGCATCTGCCTCAAAGCGGCCGCAAGGCTTGCGACAGAATCAACTTAACAATAAGTCACTGTGAGATTCTCCCCAAAACATCTACCTTGGTACAATGATAGTAGCAAAGGGCATCGCTACTAGGAGCAAGAAGCTAGTAGCTCCTGGCCTTACTACTAGGAACAAGAGGACGCTATACTGAATACTCCTCACCTCTGTCAAATCCTTGGCATGGGGGTCGTGCATCCATGCTGCTTCAAAGGTCCAAACGGCTTCACACGGCTTTCCAACACCGGCGACAGACTCAAACCCCAAATGGTAGAGGCCTACGGGCTTTAATGATTTCATTCATGAATCTGAACTTGCCCCGAGAAAAAGATTCAAAGCTGCATTGTTGCATGCTTTTGCAGCAAAGGAGCCATCTGCGGAACCAGCTTTGGATTCACAAAGGATGTAGCCTCGATACTTCCTTGGCATCTCCAGCTTCAAGCGTCTAGCTAACGCAATCAGTGACGTGGCATTGGGAGTTGGTATGCCAGGGTATTGCTCAAGGACTAAAGATTGCAACAATGGCGCACATCAAGCCTGGAGTCCACAAAAACTTCAATTGAAGCAACTACAGTTTGGAGAACCCCCAACAGAAACACCAAAAAAAGCGGATACCTGAAAGCAGGGAAGCCACAGTGCACACACCCACCACACTATGATTGCTTTTCGATGCAAGTACTCCTTTGGAGAGCTCACACATATGTTTCATTGACACTTTCGGCCAATACTAATACTCGTTGCCATTTGTATGCTACGCATCTTGCTTCTTTCTGAGGCCATCTATGAACAAATTCAGGCACAGGGTGAAGAGCTCAGCTTTCTCCTGCTCCATAAACTTAAAAGAGATGCACTCATTCTGAAGCACCAGAGTGGCCTTGGCAGTTTGCTGCGATGTTTGTCCCAACTCTCCACTTTGGGATGCATATTGAACATCCCGAGATCTGATCTCGCGACTGCACTCAATACTGCCTAAAGATTAAAGGCAGTGGCACCAGGTACCACACAAGACCTCGTGCTCTGGAATGCACAATGAATCCGTTGAGTCAGGAAGAAACTTTCGTAAGAAGGGTTGCCGATTGTGAGTCCTTCGCCAAAAGCATCTAAAGTAACCATATATACGTTTATACGTTCATTTCGGCCCCTACATACCCATAGAGTGAATTTGTCAAAACAAACTCTCTATCCACAATAAAGATACATCCATGCACACAACATGCGAAGCTCATTGGCCTTGTGCAACAGCGCCTGGCTGTGTGCATGGCCTGGCATACCAAGTCACACATGCCTCGTCTAAGGGAGTTTCCAGGTCACTCAATTCCTCTGGAGCTCCTGAACAATTTGTGGAGCTGTCGCTTCTGACCGGAGGTCGACGGAGGAGTTCTGGATGATGGGATTACATGGATCGAGCAAGGCTGGGACATGGAAAGCCTAAGGTTGCTGCTGAGGCTGAGAAGCCGTTTGAAGAGTTTAATTACTCTGTCAAGTCAGAGAGATTTCTTGATAGCGCCAACTGGAAAGTTCTGAAAGCATCAAAAGGGGTATTCCGCGGTTGGAACATGTTGCAACCATGCCAACCCAGCTCCTTGAAGGACCTTCTCCACCTCGTTGAGGCTCAGGTGCCGAGTTTCGGCGCCAGACTTGATGCGCAAGGTGTCCAAGGACCTCACCGTCGGCAAACCAAAGGGGTATGCATCAATGCTCACAGAGCAACAGTAACAGCAAACCAAACTTTTGACCTTTATATAGACCCCGCAATATTGACAACGTAGCACCAAGCAACACTTCGTCATTATTTTCCCCATGGCATGCCCCAACAAGCTTAAGAATCGCCTCCCCAACTGAGCAGTATGCGGCAGTGAGCCTTCAGTTGGTGATCAAAGTGTCCCCCTACTATAGTTTGGGTACGTACTAGTTTGGGTCCATCCTACTACCAGTAACAATGGATGATGATGATGATGATGATGATGATGATGATGATGATGATGATGATGATGATGAT